GGTTCAGACAGAAGCTGTCTAGTTTTGGTCAGCCTGAGTACCAGCTCTCATCACTGCCTGTGAACAATACACTGAGAAGGGTGCTGCTGAAGGACCCCCTTGCTGCACTCCCAGCCGCCTGCCTTTCTCGGGGGTTGAGATCCAGGGGAAGGCGGCTTTGCTGTCAGTGGCCATCTTGGTTTGGACGGAGCTGTGGGGTGGGGAGTACCTCCCAGGCAGGAGGAAGCCTGTCAGCAACCAAGAGTCAATCCGTGTATGGGCTTGGGGTTTTGTATAGAAGAGCCAGTGCCACCTTGGCTGTAGAGGGGAGAAACAGATGTGCATTCCAGGGCACCCAGAGGCAGAGAGAAGAGGCTCCCATCTCCCCTGCAGAATAGCCAGTGGGCAGGATGTTGTCCTGCCCTCTTCCCAAAACCCTTTGTCTGTGCCTTCCCTCCCTGGCACTGTGGGATGGGGTGGATTCTCTGCCTCACCAGCCCCCTCAGGCTTTGTGTGGAGGTCTGTGCACCACACTAGTGCAGCTATGCATTATGGGTTGTCTGACCTCCTGCACTGCATGGACCTAGAGTACCAGTGTGGTCTCTTCTGGCTTTGCTCTTGCCACTTGCCACTTGCTCTTGTCAGCCTGTCTCTGTCTCCATCTCACAGGCAGTATCCCCACAGTAGTTGGGGACTTGGTTGTGTCCCAGCTGGGAGCATGTGACAGCACTATACCAATTAAGTGATGTGACAGGCATGAAGCGGGACACTGGACCCGATCCCACTTGGTGCTGAGTGTCAGTGGTATCCCACTGGCCAGCATCCACCACTGCAGGGCTCAGGCAGTGATTAACGTTCCCTGCTTCCCTTGCAGCTGGCGTGTCCTGCTCTGCTGTTACGGCTGTGGGGATTATGTCTGCCCTCCTGCTACACAAGCACCGCGAGGTATGGGGTTGGGAGAGGGTGCAGCTGCATTCTCTAAGGGGTCCCTGTTCCCTGAGGTAGGAAGCAAACTGGGCACCATCTGTGGCTGATGGTGTCAGGGCCGCCTTAGACCACAGGGTCCCTCCAGTCATGGCTTTACGACCCCTCCACATAGTAGCTTTTCCTTTCTCCTTTGCTGAGCAAGAGAAAGGCTTCCTGGCAGCTTCTGGCATTATGGTTCCCATCTTATGGGCAGGGATGGGCATTGAGGCCCCTGCCAGCCCCTTTGAGCAGGGGATTGCCTCCTGGGGTGCTGGTTTCAGGTCCTGTGGGAGGGGAGATATTTTCCTAGGAGATTTTGGTCTCCATTGGCAAGGAGCCTGTTCCAAGCCCCGCTTTCCACTTCTCTGCTCCCCACCCCAGGGCGTCTTCCTCTCCCGTCTCATGTCAGACTTTGCATGGCTGACGGAGGAGATATTGTTGCACCAGAGAGATGTGGCCTTCTCGGGGCAGCTCCGGGCTCTGGTGCTGCACAGCTTGACTCTGCTCCGGGGCTGCGTCTCCCTGCACCAGCTCTCCCTAGGTGATGTCTTGGTGGCACCCCAGGCCACGGAGCCAGCCATGAGGCAGCTGAGCCTGCATGGTGCTGCCCTGCTGCCCATCTTCATGGCTGAGGCTGTGGGGGGTGAGTGGTTTGGTTGGGGGGATCAGGGAGGGTCTCCAGTGTACCAGGGGCTGTGGTCTGGTTGGGAAGGGGTCTCTTCCAGTCTCTATGCCAGAGGCTGGAGGCAGAATTAAGCAGAGAGGCAGGCAAGGAAAGGCCCCCCCAGCCTGTGCCCAGGGAGTCATGAGGGCCCTGAGTCTCTCTGGGCCTCTGCAGCCTGTGCCATCAATGCCCTCCTTGTGGAGATGCTGCCTTTCTTGGGGCCCACCGCCCTGCCGGCCGACATCATCCTGAGTCAACAGGAGCTGCAAGAGAAGACTCTGGTGCTGGTCCAGCTTCTGCCCCGGGACTTCCTCCTGCTCCAGGTAGCACCCTTTGAGCACCCCAGGGCCTCCCAACTCCCTGCAGGCTCTTTCTGGGTGTGAGGGTGCTGCCCTCCAGTGGCTGTGCCCAGACAGTGCAGGCTGTTTGCATTGCAGGTGGGAGGCAGAGGTGCTGGGCTGGGTTGCAGGACTGGGGCAGATGGGTTGCATCCCATCCCTGTGGTCTCTGATGGTCTCTGGGGAGGTCCAGGTTGCTTTCTGTTTGGTGACATGCCCCTCATCTCCTTCAGCCCTGCCAGCCGGCCTTTTGTTACTGCCAGGACGTCCTGGACAAGCTGATCCAGTGCGGGCTGCTGGTGGCCGAGGAGGTAGGTGCCTGCGAGCCCCATCTGGGGCAGGAGGAGAATATGAGGGAGACCTGGTCTGTTAGTAAGCAGGGGCTTAGCTTCTAGCCCTCCCTCCCGCCCCTCATCAGCCAGCGTGCCCTTCCGTGGGTGGTGCATACAGCCTTCTTGACCTGTGGGAGCTAGCAGCACTGGGGAAAAGCGACAGACCAGGGCCACTGGTTATCCCAAGCCCCCTGCCTGCCCTCAGCTGCTCTAGGTGCCTGGGCTGCCTGTCCCAGCCCACTCCTGTGAGTGAGTCAGTTTGGTCTCTCAGCTCTTCGTGGACTTGGTCCTAGCAAGTGGGGCAGGGGATACCCTTGGGACCACATAGATGGAGGAGCTGGTGCCTCATTACTGTCAGGAACCGGGCTTGGCCCAGAGCTGGGAGGAGAAGGTCTTGGTACAGCTCTCCCTGCCTGGTGGGGTTTGGTGACTGGCAAGCAGGAAAGGGAGCCCCAGGTCGTTCTCTGGGTCCCTTGCGGTAGAGGAGTGATGTATGGAGATGACCCAGAAGCCTCCAGGCCTGTCCCACAGCAAGACCCCATCCCAGGTCAAGGGCTCCAGGCATCACCTGCCTTCCTTGCTCCCTGAAGGCATCCAGCGAGCGTCCAGCCTGTGACACCTCCCGCCGACGTTTCTCCGGGGAGCTGATGTGGAAGGAGACGGGCGAGTTCAGTGATGACAGCGACTACGATGAGGACAGTGGCAAGCGCTGCTTCAAGGTACTGTTGCTTTGCCCTCAATACTGCCAGCAGGTGCCCTCAGGCCTTGCACAGCACATGTAGGGGGGCAACGATGGGTGCTCTTGGCTTCCCTCCCCCTTCCACCAGGGCTCCTGTTCCCCTTTGGGGCTGGCTAAGTATGGGGGGTGCCCCCCCCAGCCCTGGTGTTCCCCAGGGGCAGCCCTGTCTCTGCCTGCCTGCTGCGTGAGTGCGCTTGGGAGCCACAGCAGAGCTGGAATGATCCCACCTAGGCCTGGGGGAGCTGAGAACAGAGTCCTCAGTGCAGCTCACCTGAGGGCCATCTGCAGGTCCACCGCATCATGTCCTGGTCAGGAGGAAGCCTGTCCCCTCATGGAGGTCCTGGTTCTGCTCCAGGGATCCAGGGCTACAGCACATGCCTCAGTGGTGATGCTGACAGACTCTGAGGTTTGGTGTGTGGGGAAATAGGAGGAAAGCAGGGTGATGACGAAAGGCCGGTGGGTGAGAACAGGGGCTGCTTGAAACCCCCACAGCTCATGCTGCCTAGGCAGGGTCTCCCAGCTCCCAGGGGCCCTCACTCTAGCAGCCTTGCTACCCCAGCCTTGGGCTCCTCTCAGCTCTGCCAGGGCCCCACAACCCCCTCCCATCCCAGCCCTGGCCCTGCTCCTGCCCCTGTCCCTGCCCCTGCCTCATGCTGTGTGATGTTGAGAGGAAACTGAGCCCCGGTGCAGGCACCTACCCTGGAGATCTTCAAAAGGAGACTGGATGCACACCTTGCTGGGGTTATTTGACCCCAGAAGTCTTTTCTGCCCAGGGCAGAGGGGGCTGGACCCGATGATCTCATAAGGTCCCTTCCAGCCCTAAACTTCTGTGAATCTGTGAGTCTCACTGGTGCACTGATGTGTCATTCTTTTCCCTACAGATAAGCCAGCTGGACAACTGCTTCGACTTCTTCCTCTTCCTCTGTAGCCTCCTGAGCCCTGTGCTAAGGACCTACGAGAGAGCTGCTGCCTTCCTTGCTGAGTCTTGCTGCCCCCAGCCAGGTATGGCCTCTGTCCCTTGCATACAGCACAGCTCCAGCCACCATTGCCATGGCTCCTGGGGAACTCCAGGCACAGAGATAGGAACCCCAGCTAGGCTGCAGTGGAGCTGGGCTGTGAACTCATGACTTTATCCTGTGCTGACATTCAGCCCTTCAGCCAGCTGTCACTCAGGAGCCTTCCCAGGCTTGGGGGGAGGAGGGGGGCGTCTATTGGTCCGTGACCTGGTGGCTTTGGGGTGGGGGTTCCTCACCCAGACCATGGCAACACCAATACTGGACTGCTCTAGAGCTTAACAAGCCATCCTCCAGGCCAGTGAAGGGCTGTCAGGGCTCCCTGGGGTATCTGGCTCCTTTGGACTGTGCTTCAGAGGCCCAGCTGAGCTCACTGCATGGACACTGGGTGTCATGGGTTGCTCCTCTCTGATCGGCTCCCTGCATGCCCTCTGCAGAGCCAGCGTACACGGAGAAGCTGCAAGGGATCCTGCTGAGGAAGGCAAGGGAAGACGGCTCCTTTGGTGAGTCTGAGGCATTCTCCAGGGGGAAGCAGCTCTGAGCCAGCTTCCTGGGCCATGCTGCCCTTAGCAGGTCTGTGCCTGTCGTCCTCCTGTGCTCAGCCCCATTTCTCCCACCACCCTCCTCCTTCCTTCCCAGTGGGAGAGGGGTTCTCCATCTGTGGAGGCTAATTGTGCTTGGAGCATGGCCTGTGCCAGAAGTCTTAGGGGTGTCTGCCCCCTGCTGACAGCTGATGGAATGGCACATTGGTGACTGCCTCCTTGCTCAGCCACCGGGCTGACAGAGACCCCGGTAGCTGGTGGTGAATGCTAGGAATCAGGCTGGGGGGGTCTCTGAGCTGCCCTGCTTCTGGCAGGGAACCTGCTGGGGTGAGAAAGCTGCTGCTGAATCTGGAGGCAGCAGGCTTGGTTGGATGGGCCCCAGCTATAGAATCACAGATTGGTTCAGGATGGCAGGGCCTTCAGGAGGTCACTGCTGGGCCAGGCCCCTGCTTGAAGCAGGATCCACCCCAACTTTTTCTGCAGAGGGAGAATCCGTGCCTCTCGGGGCAGCCTGGTTGGATGCAAAACCACCCTCAGAGTAAGACAGTTCTTCCTCTCCTCCAACCTCAATTTCCCCTGCTGCATTTTAAGACCCTGGCTCCTAGCCCTGTCCCCTGCTGTCACAGAGAGTCTGTCTGCATTGTTTCAATAACCAACCACTCGTCAGGTACTGCAGATGGCTGTCAAATACCCCCTCAGTCTCCTCCAGAGTAAATTATCCCTGTGCTTTCAGCCTGTCCCCATAAGCTGTAGAGTAACATTTTTGTGGTGGGGGGGAGGGAGGCGGGCAGGGTGCTAGAATGGGTGGCCCCCAGGGAGTTCCCCACTGCCACTCTTAGAGCAGCCCCTGTCTGATGGGGTAAGGGTTTGCTTCCACCTTCCCGGCTGCCAGATAAGGCATGGACATTGTAAGTGACCGCTCTCTCCTCACAAATCATATTCCTCAAATCTCTCCATTTCTGTTGCTCTTGGCTGGATGCTTCCCAATCTGTCTTCATCTTTCTTGAAGTGAGGGCCCTGAAACAGGACACCAAACTCCAGGTAAGGCCTCAGCAGTACCAAGCAGGCATGGAGAATCCTGTGCCTTGATTTGCAAGTGATGGTCCTGTTAATACAGCCTGCTAAGCTGTTGGCTTCTTTTGCAACAAGAGCACACTGGTGGCTCCTGTTCAGCTTGGGGTCCATCTGCTGTAACCTCCAACTCCTTTTCTGGAAACGGACTGGGTGTTCTTAATAGAGATGGTGATACCAGAACCAGGACAGACCCCTGGGGAGCTCATTTAATACGTCCTCCCTACTGTATATCAAGCTATTGATAATTACTTTTTGAGCATACTGATCCAACCAATTTCATGTTCACCTTGCAGTACTTGCTGTAAGTCTGTGAATCTTTAACTTCTTTTTAAACTGTATTTATTATCAAGTGTAACTTAACAAATTTTAACATTCAAAGATATAGCCAATCCCCTAAAATATACATAAAGACAGATATTTATATTCTAGCAACCATGCTCCCTTAGCCCAAGTCCATGTCCACAGGAGTTTTGCGTTCTTTTCTTCTCTTCCTTTCAGGCTCTGACAGGTCCTTTATGTTTCAGTATTCAGTTTGATGATAAGCTTTTGTGTTTCTTCATCTCTGTATAATAGTTCACCCCCTGTTCTTCCTCAGAACTCTGCATAGTACAAATCTCACTATCATCTCTGTTTTTACATATTGAATTTATGCCAAATTCATTCTTAATTGTTATCTTGTAGAACTCACACTTGCCTATTCAAAAGGGTTTCTTAAACTTTCTAGGTTGGGGGCAGAAAGATTCTTTTTTTAGCAAATGTAAAAAAACCCTTTGTTTTCCTTCTCCGCTGTAGAACCAGAGAGGACAGCTTTGTCATTTCTAAAACATTCTGTACTTTTTGAAACTGGCCAGTGATTCTTGGGGTGTCCCTTCTCTTCCAGGCTTTTGCAGTTATAATTCTTGCAGCCACCTGTAGATAGTGATTATCCCCTTATGACTCCTTTATGTTGCAGAGATCACAAGAAGGTTCAGCTAGAATACCACGGGTGATTTGAATAGCTGGCACCCTGTTGTTTCCCTCACCGTGTCTCCAAACCTCTTCCAGAACAGTTTGAGTCGGGGACCCCTCCACCGTATATGGTAGAATCCTCCAAGCTGAGCACGCTCCCTCCAACATTAGCCTTTGTTTGTACCATAAATATGTTTAATTTTGAGTGGGGTGAGACATTTTCAAAGTAGGATTTGAAATGAATCTTTTATTATAGTGCAGATGGATATATGAGGACCATTGTTCCAGGTGGTCTCCCATTCTTCAGCACTAATCCTGACCCAATGTTAATAGCCCTTGTTAGCTTATTAACAAGAAAGGCATGACAGACAGTGGCAGAAGCCTTTAAAAATAGGATAATTCACATCCACTGTTCTTCCCCCATCCACAGAGTCTGTTACCATGTCATAAAAGGAAACTGCCCTGCCCTGGGTGAATCCATGTTGGCTTTTCCTGATCACCTTGTTTTTCTCCAGGTGCTTAGAGTTATGTTCCTTAATGACATTTTGCCTGGTGTTGAGATCAGCCTGCCTGGTCTGTAATTATTAAAGATGGGTATTCTGTTGGCCCTTTTCCAGCTATCACCCAACATCTTCGCAGTCTCAAAGACAGCCAGTGGCTCTGAAATTACCTCACCCATTTTCTTGAGCACTCTAGGTCCCATCTCCTCTGGCCCCGCTGACCTGGATTCACCTTCTCCAAGTAATCCCTGTCCTGTTCCTCTACCAAGCCAAGCTGCTTCTGTCCTTCCCTATCTCTGCTGTCAGCTGCACCTGTCACCTGCTTGTTGACTTTATTCATAAAGACCAAAGTAAAAAAACCAAAACATTAAATAATTCAGCCTTGTCCTTAAAATCCATAACAAGAGTGCCTGCTGCTGGGAAGAGGTCACTTTCCTTAGCCTTCAGCTTGTCTCTGATATACCTGTGTTGACTCGCAGAGGCATTTTGTGAAGTAAGGAAGGGCCGAGGAGCCAGGCCCACCAAAAGTAAACACTCCAACATGTAGATGTAAATTTTAATAAGAGAGTTAAGAATAAAATGCAGATCAGGTATAAATGATCCAACAGTGCAGGTGCATTCATCTAAAGAAGCGGCCATCCTATTACCATTGGAACCAAATGAATCCTAAATTCTCTGGGTCCTAAAGTCTTAAGTCTCTATTAGGTGGCCAGCCTGGTAGGGAAAAGGACCTTCTAACTAGCACTAACTTGGTACATCTGCAGGAGGGCAGTTAGGCACAAACTGTAGTTTGAGGCTGAAGAGTGAAAAACCTGAGGTGGAATGAGATTTATACTCTGTGACCTGGGTCAATATCAAAACTTAGCAAATAAAGCTAATAAATGTTCCCAGTAGGCTGTCTTTTAAGTAGTATGCATATGTATATTTTTATCCTTGTCTGCATCAGATCTAATTGGTATGAAGCCACTAAATCCACTGAGAATGACTCTTTCCAAACTTCTTTTGTCCTGTCCCTCTCGCACCTTCTAAACCAGTGGTTCTCCACTTGGTTAGACTGATTGCACCCCTCATTAGATTCAAGACCCCTCTTGAAGAATGGCAGCTCTTAGTTTTCACTCATTCTTGCAGTTTTTCTTGTGCAAAGAACTCCCAAAGCGCAGAACAGGCCAGAATGTACCTACCACTGTGGACGCCTATTTGAAATACCTGGGTTTATCTTGTGAATCCATTCTAAAGTGTTCTTACCTGCACATGTCTGCTGCCATTGCTCTTCCCCAGGCTTTGATCAAGCAAGAGCTCTGCCATGCTCCCATTAAGCAGCTTAGGGTCTACAGTAGTCTACACTTGGACAATCCTTTCTTATTGCTTTATACACCCCTTACTGGTTGCATCTCAGATTGTGCCCTGGCCTTTCAGCATCTCTTCCTGTGTGAGGCTCACCCTCTTCTAGTTATATGGCCAAGTTTCCACTTGTTGAAGTTCAAATAAAGGAATCCTAAGGTTTTACTGTTTAGCCAGACCAGTCTCTTGCTGTGCTCTCAGGTCTTTCATTGCATGGGGATAACTCATTTTAGCACCCTTAATTAGGCCTCCTTAAATACAGCCACCTCTCCTGGGCTCCTCTTCCCTTCAGATTCACTTCTCAGGGGATCCTGCCCCCCCAGTTCCCAGTGCTTGTGAAGGCATGCTTTCCACAAGTCCAGCGTCTTTGTTTTGCTGATCCTTTCATCCAGTCTTTAGTATTTTGAACTCTATCATTTCATGGTTCCTGTCTCCCAGGTTACCTTCCACCTTCATGCTCTCAGTCAATTCCTCCTGCTTGTGAGCAGCAAGTAGAAAAGAGCTTCCCTCTTGGTAGGCCTCTCCCATGCCTGTACCAAAAATCCATTCCCCAAACCCCCCAATAACTTGTTGGAATGCCTGTGCACTGTTGTGTTTCCCTCTCAACATGTGTCCCAGTAACTGAAGTCCTGCAGAAAAATCAAGTCTTCTAACTTGGCAGCATTGGTTAGTTGTTTGAAGAAGGCCTCATCCAACTCTTCCTTCTGGCTCTGTGGTCTTTGGCAGACATCCACTGTGACAGCCATCACCTTTTTTCCTTCTGACTCTGATAGAGGCTTTCAATAGGCTACAGCTTTGTAGTGTATCTCAGAACAAGCATCTCTCTTGCTCTTACATCAGGGAGTGGTTCCCAGTGGTTTTAGAGTCAAAGTCTTTCTTGGAAAAGCCATTAATGTTGTGCGTTTTTCTGTAATCAAAAAACAGAGCAATTTTTCAGTTGCAAAGAGCTCAGAGGGCGTTTATAGACGTGCTCTGGGAGGCAAGGCAGGGGCACTTTAATTAGCGCCGCTCTGAGAGCCATGCTAATTAAAGCACCTGAAGCGTCGCATGTATGAGCATCCCCATGCTGGAAAATGGCAGTGGGGCATTTTGAACTAAATCTCATTGAACGAGCTTTAGTTTAAAGCGCCCCACTGCTATTTTTCAGCACGAGGACAATGATACACGTGATGCTGGAGTCTGTTGGAGTGTGGTAATTACCACGCTCCAGCAGACATGATTAATTGAGCCTTTTGATTAATTGAGAATTAATTACATGCTGTAATTACATCACATTAGAGCACCTTCCTTTTTCTCCCCAGCCTGCTCATACCATATATCACTAGCCATGTGAACTGTCCCCTCACACTATCCCAGGTACAACATAATTGCAGGGATCTGACCCTACTGGAGCCTGCTGGGCCCTGTGGGGTGATCTAAGCCCAGGAGCCAGCCAAGAGCAACCCCCAGCCAGAGGGAACCAGAAGAGCCTGCTGCAGCTGTGCAGGGCAGTGTAGGGCAGTGAGGAGTGTTACCATCCTAGCAAGCATATTCCAGGCCCCCAGCACTTATACTTGGCTACTTTCTCTTCTCCAGAGTGTGTGAACAGGAGCATGGCTGTGAGCTCCGTCCGGACCTTCAAGGAGCTAGGGGTGAGCATGCTCTGTTTCCTGCCCTCCCCGGGGAACCCGACCAACCCTGCTTTTTGCTTCCCCCTACCTAGCCAGGCCCTGGGGATCTGCCTGCAGACTTTCTCTCCCTCCTAGCCACTGGGTCCGAGTCACAGCTGGTCTGGGATGCAGGGGCAGCTGCTGGCTGCACCTCCCCTCTCTGATGCACTTGGGTTATATTGCTCCCCTCAACCTGTCCTGGTTCCCATCCCCAGAACTTCAGGGGCCCACTCTCTGCCCAAGAGCAGGGTGAGGTCCATGTCAGCATAGCACTGGCCTTGATCTGCTGCGGCTGGTCTGGAGGCTGGAAAACCAGGCTCTCTTTCTCTCTCCCTCTCCCCCTGCCAGGTGCTGCAGGAGCTGCCGACCCCAGCAGGGCCCAAGCTCTACCTCTCAGAATCTTTCTCCCTCAGAGAGAACCAGGAGAGCCTGAAGAAGTTCATCCAGCAGTTTATATATTGCTAGGGCCATGCCAGGAGGGCTGTCTCGGGCCTTGAGAAGTCATATCCCATCCCAGATCCCGTTGTGCCTCCCTCACCCAATGGAAGCCAGACTGCCACATTGCAAAGTTTGAATATTTGTCCTGTCTGCTTGGGGAAATCCCCCTGTGATGTGGTGGCTGGTGGCCAGCCCAGCCCAGCCATGATGGGGTTACGAGGGAGGGCACCAACTGGAGCAGGGGGAAATCCTGGCATTTGGCTGAAATACTCATGTCTAATTTGAGAGGGGGATAGATCTGCTGACTGTACCTGGGTTGTGGGTTTGCTGATAGCCTGTGGGGTCTTCCCCTGGATGTTGAGGTTGGGGGCTGGAGGGTGGGCTTACCACTTCCAAAGTCTCTGGGCATCTCCCTGGTGTCTTTTCCCCATCATGGCTGGAAAACACAGGTGAGGTCACAGAGCACTTGGCATATGGTTTCAGCTGAGATGCAACAGGTGGGAGGTTCATGTTGCTGTGTCACAAGGACTGATGTTTCAAGCCTAGTTAAAATAGTGTCACTGTAAAAGGAATTAATTAAAAGCCAAAGAATCAGATCTGGCCCCCAGCCTGGCTTCTACTTTCAAGGGAAGAAGTTTGAGGGCTGGGCTACAGCATCGAGCTGTGCACTGGTCCCCCCACCAGGGAGCACACTACTAATGGCAGCTTGGCTGGTTTCATCCAGCAGCCTTCCTACTGGTACCATGCTCAGAGCTCTCTGTGCAGAGGAGAGGGCCCTACCCTTGGCAGAGCCTTATCCTTGGTGCCCCTGCCCTGCTGGGTCTGTAGGGGTGAGCACAGTTTCCTGGTGCCCTGCCTGACCTGGCATGGAGCTAGGCAATACCTAGCCCCTGTGTTTGGGCAGAGGAAGAGCAAGAGCTTCGGTAAGAGCTGCCAGGGAGACCAACAGCAGGATTCTCCAGGTGCCTACCATTTTTGTCACCAGCAGGGAGGTGAAAGCCCGGGGGCGAGGCCCAGCAGCCTCTGCCACTCCAATGCCAGCACCCCCAGGGGAGCTTGCTGGGGAGGGCTCTGAGCCCAGCTGTTTGGCACTATGGTTGTGTCCTCTCCACAGCACCAGGGAGCACAGCAAGAACCTGCCACCCCCTTCTCTTCCCTGCACCACTCTGGCTCGAGCTCTGTCATGTCTGCCCTGCCCCATTGGGCCCTCGCCTCTCTTGCCCTGGGCTCACACTGCCCCCAGGCCCTGCTGCTGCCGCCACTGCTGTTCTGCCCACAGGAATTCCTGGCCCTGGTCTCACCTGTGTAATAAGCATGCTTTGCTGCCACCCCCGTGTTGTGCTTGGGGGCTAGGGGACTCCTCTGCTCCGCTCTTGTTTCTCCCTTCCTTCCTGGCTCCATCTCCCTCCCTCTCCCGGCCTCCCGCTGCTCCCAGAGTCCCTGCATCCCACCCTGCCTGTTCCCACTGTCCCTTCTCCTCTTCTGAGGCTGAGGCTGGTTCTTTGTTCCTGGCCCCTGTTCTGAAGCCTGCCAGGCTGCAATGTGAAGCCGATCAGATGAACCCAGGTGCTGCTGCAGTGTAGAACAGCCACAGGCGTCAGGGCAGAGCAGTTGAGCTCAGGCTGGGCTCTTGGGGCAACGCCCTGGGAGCCCAGGAACCAACTTCAGCCTCTGATGCTTCCCTGCCTCTGTCACTTCTGCTGCTCCCGGACCCCCAGCTTAGAGCACAAGATCATCCGGGGGACTCAGGTGGGTACCTGGGGTGGGGAAGGGGGAGCCCTCAGGGTTGGAGTCAGAGTGTGATGGGCTTGGGGGGCAGCTCTGGGATGTATGTGGGGTCCATAGTGGGGGGTAAAGGGGGAGACTGCCCCAGCCTGCCCACCCTGTTTCTGTTTTTATCTCCAGGGCAAAAGCTTCCAGAGCAGCAGGAACCATGGGGAGGTGCTGGCTCAGCAAGGGGCCAGTCTGAAAGACTAAGGAGGACCAGAGCCCCTGCCTCCCTGAACTGAGCCCTGGTGTTGCCAGGAGAAGAGCATGGCAGGTGCGGGGGACAGGGCAGGGAAGGGACCAGCCAACCTGGTCTCCCACTGAGCTTGGAAAAACTATGGCAATGCCAGGTGGATGATCTGTGTTGGGGGTGACCCAGGCAGACAGGATGAGCTTGGCACAGCTCTGGCTGCAGCTCAGGGCAAGAGCTGCCAACATGCTGAGAGCTGGCAGGGGGAATTGCCCAGGAGCTGCCCCTAGGGAACATCTGGAAGCCCTTGCTCGCTGAGGACAGGCCAGTCAGGGCTCTGCTTAGGGGCAGTTCAGACTTGATCTCTGGTTTCTGGACTGCCCTGGGGCAAAGGAGGTGCAAGGGTCTGGCCACCCATTCAGTGCTGCTCATGCTTTTAAACAGAGCCAGTGGACCTTGGAGACTTCAAGACACTGCTTTCCTAGTGGGATGGCGCACACTTGGTCACCACAGGCTGTAGGCCTGTAGGTTCCTGACTGGGGAAGAAAGAGCTGGATGAAAGGTAAGGAGAGGGGCTGCTAGAGTTGGGGGATTCTCACCTCCAAGAGCTGTGTGGCTTGCACAGCCTCTAAGCCACCATAAAGTGGTGTCCTCCCCATCCCATAGCAGTGGTGCCTTCTAGGGAGCTTGTCGGTGGGCAGCATCCCCCTCTGTCTGCTTCTGCCTTGTGGAAGAGACGGGAGATGAGAACCCAGGTGTTTTGTTCGACCCACCAGGCAATTGGTGACCCCTCCTCCTGGCTCCCAGGAAACCGACACATGTATGATTGTTGCTCTGAAGGGCTACCCACATCACCCCTGGGAGTGTCCCCTACTTCTGGAGACCCCTTCAAGGAACAGCTCTGAGCCTGCGCTGTAGGTGCTGCAAAGGTGGGCAGGCCCTGCACTGCTGTCCTTGGTGCTGAAGAAGCAGTTCCCCACTTGTCCCAGGCTTTGCAGTCCTGGTGCTGGACTATTCACCCCCCTCCCAAAACTCAAGCCTTCTGCCTCCCCCGTGCCCTCTCCGATCTGTGCTCCTGGAGGAACTGCTCCCTCCTCCTGCACCAGAATAGAAATAGACATTGGTGTTGTTGGATCTCAGCTCTTCTAGAAGTCTCTTGTGTATGGAGAGAGTCCTGTTGTTGGCTGGTTTCTTACTGCTGCAGGAAATGACCCAGATTGGGGTTGTGTTCTGCAGGGTGTTCTCCGATGGCTCAGCCTCCCCTACTTACAGCTGTGGCTGTGTGTAGTGGGGAGTGTGGAGAAGGGAGTGTTTCTAGCTCAGATGCATAGAGGAGGACTCCCAAGTGTCACAAGCATTGTCTGGTGCATGGGGAAGGGTTGGGCACCAATACTTGGCATTTGCAGAGGGCGGGATGGAGCCTGCCTCCATTAGGTGATGCTTGGCTGGTGCAGGAGGATTCTCCCCTGGGGACTGGTATGCTGGTGACGGCAGCGTTGTAACACATCCAAGCAGCGTTGCCAGCAAAAGAGCTATGTGTGAGATGCCATCTGCACTGCACCACCGAGGCACTGGTTCAGGTTGCTGAACCTGGGAGCCCCCAGGGCTGGAAGCTGCTGAGCAGTGGAAGCTGAGGCTGAAGACAGACATGCAAACAGAGAAGAGATAGTTAAGCAGGGGTGGGGTATCAGCAGCAAAGGGCAACAGCGCATGGGATAATTATGGAGACGCCTCCTTGTCTTAACCAGAGTCATCCTTTGAGTGCATGTTACTAGCAGCCTCCAGAAATCCCAAGCGAGTCTGCAGCCCCATGGTGAAGAGCACATTATTAGCAAGGAGAGGGTGGCCCCCATGGAGAGGGGGTGGCCCTAGGAAGCAGTGCACATCAGTGGTAGCTTTCAGTTCCTGGTTCTTGGTGCCCAGTAAGTGGGAATCCTTGCTCGCAGGCCTGGTTACTGGACACTGAACACAGACAATGGTGTTACAATTCCTTGTAGTTCCCCGGATCCTCCTTCTTCCCTTTCGTAAAGATGGGCACTATATTTGCCCTTTTCCAATCATCTGGGACCTCTCCTGATTGCCATGAGTTTTTAAAGATGATGGCCAGCAGTTCTGCAATCACATATTGCCCTCTAGTAGGAGCTTGGCCATTCTATATATTGATGAGGCTACTATAGTCTTTACTTAGGCTATCCTTAGGAAGCAGTGGGGCTTCATCAGTGGGGACTGAACCCATGATCTCCTACTTTGAAACATATAATAAGCTTTCAAAAATGGAATTATTCACACTACCTACTTTTCTGACTGACCTTTCCTGTTGCATTTCCCCATGATGCCCCTCCCGTGCTGGGGGCATTTCTGGTGCTTCTCTTCCCGCACTGGCTGCTGCTTGGCTAGGCTCCATGTACAGCTCTTTTCTGCCCATGAATGCAGACAGGGGAGGATTTCCTAGCTAATTCCAGCTGTGCATTGGCCACTTGAAATGACTCAGCAGCCCTTGAAATGCTCTGCATGGTGCCCTGCTGGTCCCACAACCTGGTGTGGCTCCCTGCTGCCACACTGCCCCCAACTTCACTGTCCCCAGCCCCAGGGGGGCCAGGGGAGAGGCGATCTGGTGCTGGGCTGTGTCTGACGGGCTTTGCTCTTTGGCTTCCCTTCTCGTAGCCTCTGGTGCCTGCTCCATGTTGTAGGGGTTTAGGTAGGAACCTTGTCTGCTCCATGTTGTGGTATTTAACTTCATTGTATTTATGCTACTAGTCTGTCCCCTGTGCACTGTTTACTGGTGCAGGGAAGTTCCTGCCATTGCTTTGGTCTCTGCTCAAGCTGGGGTGGGGGGACAGTGACTGCTGCAATGGTAGCTCAGGGTGACAGGAAGGTCTGAGCTATCCCTGCTGGCTGACCTCGCCCGAGTTCTTCCCCACCCTGCTATGGGAAGGACGCCAGGATGTCTGGACATTAGAGAAGAGGCCATGCACTTGGGAGAAGATCCTGTCCTTTTCTGCAGGGACGTCCCTGACTTTTGCAGAGAGAGGGAGTGAGCTGTGTTAGTCTAAAGTCAGGCACAAGGCATGGTAGGTTTGCACCTTCCAGACCAATGAAATCAAAGATGAATAAACATTCATAAGCAGCAGCTCACTTCATCCATTGCTGTGCTGGCAAGAATGGCAGTCCCTTACAAAAGCCTCTGCATCTCTGATTTAGTTGGTCTGCTGTATAGTAAAGAGTCCTGGGGCCAGCAGAAGGAGCGTGACTGCACTATTCACTGGAGAGGGTGAAGTAAGTTAAGTTCTTAGTTAAGTTCTCCTCCGGCGGGCTTTAAACTAGGCTCGTTGGGGGAAGGGGATGGTGTGAGCGGAGGAAGCCTCAGACAAGCAAGCCAAGCATCGCCGGCAGGAACAGCCCAGCCTAAACCGATGACAAGAGAAACAGGCAATCAGGTAAGTGACATGGGCCTGGGTACCACTGGGATTAGGGTGGTTCATTCATCTTCAGGAGGCCTCAAATGTCTCTATGCTAATGCTCGCAGCATGGGGAACAAGCAGGAGGAACTAGTCCTCCTGCTAGCCAGCACCAACCCAGACATAGTGGGGCTCACCGAAACATGGTGGGACCCAATGCATGACCGGGCAGTGAATATCAAGGGCTACAGGCTCTACAGGAAAGATAGGACAGGCAGGGAGGGTGGGGGTGTGGCGCTCTGTCAAGGAGCAACACACATCCACAGTGAGTAACACTGGGTCAGAGGAGGAGCAAATGGAAGTGCTCTGGGTTAGAATACAAGGGGGTCGAGGAGAAAGGGACTTAATGGTGGGGGTCTACTACAGACCACCCAACCAAGGAGCAGATCGAGACCAGGAATTCTTGTCAGCTCACAGAGATAGTTAGGTCCAAGGATGTGATCGTCATGGGTGATCTAAACTTGCCAGACATCTGCTGGGAGGAGCAGACAGCCAGGTCTGACCGCTCACACAAGTTCTTAACTGACATACAGGACCTCCATCCTAACCCAGGAGGGACATAGCCCCACCAGGGGAGACGCCTTGTTGGATTTGGTCTTGGCCACAGGCGACGACCTGGTACGGGGTCTGCGGGTGCTAGACCACCTGGCTGATAGCGATCATCGTCTGCTGGAATTCACCATCCAGCGCAAGGTGGCAAAAGCCTCCAGCAAGGCAGCAGCCCTCGACTTCAGGAGGGCGGACTTTAACGAGGTGAGAAAACTAGTGGGGGAAGCACTGAGGTCCCAGAGCTGGAGGGAGTTGAGTGTCCAGGAGAAGTGGTCGTTCCTTAAGGAGACGATCCTCCAAGCTCAAATCCCT